CACAGAAGCCTTCATGGAGACATCCTACTGGAGGTTGTCAATATCGCCGACAAGTTCCCTGAGGATACAAAACGGGAAATAGAGATGGAATTAATTCCAAATATCTTGACACATCATGAGCCAACACACAGGAACAGATTTTCCGTGATACGCAAAACCTTGGAAACGAATGAATAATTATTCCTTCAGGCGGACAAAGGAGGAGCTACAGTGATGATGGACAAAAAAACAATATACCGAGAAGGTGGAACATATTCTACGAGACAGGACCACATATCGCATACTAAACAAGGACCCAACTATGAAGATCAATGGAATCTTAAGTGACATGCTGAAAGATATGCATAGGAACGGGGAAATTGACGCATGGACAAGAAATGAAATCGTAAGAAAGGATATACGACCACCAACAGCCTACAGATTAGCGAAGAAACACAAAGAAGGCGAGCCACTAAGGCTGATAGTCGACAAAAAGTATGGAGCAACACAGAAATGGGCAAATTTCATGTTGGAAACTCAAGAAATTAAATGACAGGCATTCACATGAATTTTCTCAAAAAATCCAAGACATGGCACTGGAAGAAAGGGACTTTTTGGTAAGCTTCGATGTGGAATTCATGTATGCCCAGCTGGAAATGCTGGACCGAGGAATCACAGCAGATCAGGAGGGATTCGCTAACACAACTTATCAGCTTGACAGTGAACGGGACCATCCGAGAACAAATATTTGGACATCCCATGGGATCGCCGCTCTCACCTCTTTCGGCAAACGTTTACATGAACAAATTAGAAGAACACTTCAAGATGTCACCGCTACAACCAGCAGTGCTCATGAATGCTTGCTTCGCGCCTTGGTCACGTGGAAGAGAACAACTGGAAGATTTGCTGAAGTTTATAAACCAGATTGGTGAAAAATTTAATTCACGATGGAAGTTGAGGAAGAGGAGCAGTTACCGTTGGTGGATGTTGAAGTGATTCGCTCTAATGGGAAGCTCAAAAAGAGATTGTTCCGCAAGAAGTCTTGTGCTGGGATAATACTCAATTTTCAGTCCCATCTCAATGAGGATGTTACGCTTAACGGATGTAGAATTATGGGACGAGGAGCTGGACAAATTGACGTGGATATTCCTCGGCAATGGCTACCCAAGCGAAATGATACAAAGAAACATACGGGTCGTGAAAAGCCGATGGCGGAACGGGGACTATGAAAGAAAAGTAAGGACGATGAAGGATTCACAAAAGTGGATATGCCTACCTTCCTGCGAACTAGCTCAAAAACTACGACCAATTTTGAGGAAATGGAATATTCGGGTGGCCATGAAAGAGAAATCAACACTCTTCAAAAGTCCACCGAGGCAAAGGGTAGATAAATTGGATTGTTCACGAGTTTGCTGTACCTCATGCGGCGCCTGCGAGCAGAAATGTATTGGCGAAAGAGGGAGAAAAATTAGGAACATCAGAGGCTTTGCAGTAAAATGGATACCGTAAGATGAGAACTAGCGGAACACATCGCGCAGACTGGACACGAGATCAATTGGAAGGCAACGGTGACAACACAAATAAGTGGAAGATTGACATCCTTGGGGAGACAAATTGAATGAACAGGAGGTTGGAGGAAGATAGAGTTAGCGATAACTTTGCCTCCTGCTTAAGCAAATTCTGGGAAAACAAGAATAGAGCAAGACCATCAAAAAGGAGACGCATGGATCAAGGATCTACCGCTAACCGGAGGAAAAGGGATCCGAGGAAGAAACTGGGGGGGAGGGGTTTTCAGCAATAAAGCGAAGAGAATGTACCAAGTCCACTATCTAATGCTGGGAATTATGA